AGTGCTTGGGTATGGTTAGGAGGGCACTGACTTTTCTAGGCTGCCCTATCTATGTTTCCTGGGAAAATACATGGGAAAATCCCATTGGAGGAAAATTCCACTTAGGGTTAGGGTTTAGGTCAACATGAATCATGGAGCAAAATGGACATTGCCAACAAATTCGGAGTGCTTGGGTATGGTTAGGAGGGCACTGACTTTTCTAGGCTGCCCTATCTATGTTTCCTGGGAAAATACATGGGAAAATCCCATTGGAGGAAAATTCCACTTAGGGTTAGGGTTAGGTCACCATGGACTCATAGAGCAAAATGGACATCTCCAACAAATTCGGAGTGTTTGGGTATGGTTAGGAGGGCACTGACTTTTCTAGGCTGCCCTATCTATGTTTCCTGGGAAATACATGGGAAAATCCCATTGGAGGAAAATTCCACTTAGGGTTAGGGTTAGGTCACCATGGACTCATAGAGTAAAATGGACATCTCCAACAAATTCGGAGTGCTTGGGTATGGTTAGGAGGGCACTGACTTTTCTAGCGTACCCTATCTATGTTTCCTGGGAAAATACATGGGAAAATCCCATTGGAGGAAAATTCCACTTAGGGTTAGGGTTAAGTCAACATGAATTCATGGAGCAAAATGGACACTGCCAACAAATTCAGAGTGCTTGGGTATGGTTAGGAGGGCACTTACTTTTCTAGCGTACCCTATCTATGTTTCCTGGGAAAATACATGGGAAAATCCCATTGGAGGAAAATTCCACTTAGGGTTAGGGTTAGGTCACCATGAATTCATGGAGCAAAATGGACATTGCCAACAAATTCGGGGTGCTTGGGTATGGTTAGGAGGGCACTGACCTTTCTAGCGTACCCTATCTATATTTCCTGGGAAAATACATGGGAAAATTCCATTGGAGGAAAATTCCACTTAGGGTTAGGTCACCATGAATTCATAGAGTAAAATGGACATTGCCAACAAATTTGGAGTGCGTGGGTATGGTTAGGAGGGCACTGACTTTTCTAGGCTGCCCTATCTATGTTTCCTGGGAAAGTACATGGGAAAATCCCATTGGAGGAAAATTCCACTTAGGGTTAGGGTTAGGTCAACATGAATTCATGGAGCAAAATGGACATTGCCAACAAATTCGGAGTGCTTGGGTATGGTTAGGAGGGCACTGACTTTTCTAGGCTGCCCTATTTATGTTTCCTGGGAAAATACATGGGAAAATCCCATTGGAGGAAAATTCCACTTAGGGTTAGGGTTAGGTCACCATGGACTCATAGAGCAAAATGGACATCTCCAACAAATTCGGAGTGTTTGGGTATGGTTAGGAGGGCACTGACTTTTCTAGGCTGCCCTATCTATGTTTCCTGGGAAAATACATGGGAAAATCCCTTTGGAGGAAAATTCCACTTAGGGTTAGGGTTAGGTCACCATGAATTCATGGAGCAAAATGGACATTGCCAACAAATTCGGGGTGCTTGGGTATGGTTAGGAGGGCACTGACCTTTCTAGCGTACCCTATCTATATTTCCTGGGAAAATACATGGGAAAATCCCATTGGAGGAAAATTCCACTTAGGGTTAGGGTTAGGTCACCATGAATTCATAGAGTAAAATGGACATTGCCAACAAATTCGGAGTGCTTGGGTATGGTTAGGAGGGCACTTACTTTTCTAGCGTACCCTATCTATGTTTCCTGGGAAAATACATGGGAAAATCCCATTGGAGGAAAATTCCACTTAGGGTTAGGGTTAGGTCACCATGGACTCATAGAGCAAAATGGACATCTCCAACAAATTCGGAGTGTTTGGGTATGGTTAGGAGGGCACTGACTTTTCTAGGCTGCCCTATCTATGTTTCCTGGGAAAATACATGGGAAAATCCCATTGGAGGAGAATTCCACTTAGGGTTAGGTCCTAATCGACTCATAGAACAAAATGGACATTGCCAACAAATTCGGAGTGCTTGGGTATGGTTAGGAGGGCACTGACCTTTCTAGCGTAGCCTATTTATGTTTCCTGGGAAAATACATGGGAACATCCCATTGGAGGAAAATTCCACTTAGGGTTAGGGTTAGGTCAACATGAATTCATGGAGCAAAATGGACATTGCCAACAAATTCGGAGTGCTTGGGTATGGTTAGGAGGGCACTGACCTTTCTAGCATACCCTATTTATATTTCCTGGTAAAATACATGGGAAAATCCCATTGGAGGAAAATGCCACTTAGGGTTAGGGTTAGGTCAACATGAATTTATGGAGCAAAATGGACATCTCCAACAAATTCGGAGTGTTTGGGTATGGTTAGGAGGGCACTGACTTTTCTAGCGTACCCTATCTATGTTTCCTGGGAAAATACATGGGAAAATCCCATTGGAGGAAAATTCCACTTAGGGTTAGGGTTAGGTCAACATGAATTCATGGAGCAAAATGGACATTGCCAACAAATTCGGAGTGCTTGGGTATGGTTAGGAGGGCACTGACTTTTCTAGGCTGCCTTATCTATGTTTCCTGGGAAAATACATGGGAAAATTCCATTGGAGGAAAATTCCACTTAGGGTTAGGGTTAGGTCAGGTGTAGGCAACCCAAAACACCCAAAGAGCCACTTGAACCCGTTTCCCACCAAAAACAAAACACTGGGAGCCGCAAAACCCTTTTGATATCTAAAATGAAGATAACACTGTATATATCCTTTTTTTACCTTTATTATAGGTGTGTGTGTGTGTGTGTGTGTGTGTGTGTGTGTGTGTGTATACATACATACATACATACATACACACACACACACACACATACATACACACACACACACACATATACACATTAAAAATAAAAGTAAAAATATGACTCTTGGGAATATCCATACTATTAAAATAATGATCACCAAGAGAATGCTTTAAGAGAATAAAATTACATACACACACAGGTAAAAAAAGGATATATGCAGTGTTATCTTCATTTTAGATGTCAAAAGGGTCTCTCTCTCTCTGTCTCTCCCTCTCTCCCTCCCTCTCTGTCTGCCCTTAGTCTGCCACTCCTCTTCCCCCACTCTCTTTCTCTCTCTTTCCTCTCTCTCTCTTCCCCCCCCTCTCTTTCTCTCTTTCTCTCTCTTTCTCCCCCCCCTCCTATCTGCTGCTCACCTGGGAAGCTTCAAGCTCTTGCCCAATAAGCTCAGGGGTGGGCAACCTCATCTCTTTTATGACTCGTGGACTTCAACTCCCAGAATTCCTGAGTCAGCCTAGCTGGGCTAGCTAGCTCTCTCCTGCCCTTCCTGCTTCCTGCAGAGACGTAGCAAAGGGAGGAGCTCTGCCCAGTAAGCTTTTCAGCTCCTCGGAGAACACTGTGAGTGCACTCTCTTTTACACATAGACACACACACACACACACACACACACACAGAGAGAGAGAGAGAGAGAGAGAGAGAGAGAGAGAGAGAGAGAGAGAGAGAGAGAGAGAGAGAAGCAGGGAAGTGCAATTGCCTCTCTCTGTCTCTCTCTGCAAAGGCAGAGGAGGCTGGGAGCCACAGGGGAAGGCTCAAAGAGCCGCATGTGGCTCCGGAGCCGCAGGTTGCCGACCTGTGCATTAGGGCAAGCCACTAATATATAAAATGAGAAGAAACCCCACCCCCTGTTCTACCACTGATGGTGTCACCTAGTTCAGTAATGAAATGTCTGCAAAACAAACAAGCTCAGAGAGCACCAAAGACCCCTTACACTCTCTTACCTACATTTCCCAATTTCTAAGCACCACCTGGACATTTAATTGTCAGTGACTTTTCACCATTACAAAATCCATCCCTAAAAACTCACAGCATTTTGGTCAGCCTCCCGATGTCTGATGCCCTCACCACTAGACCAAACTGAATTATTCCCCACATCCTCCCCCTCCGAGGATCAAACTATGCCCCACAGCCCCCACAGCCCCACCTACCTGATGCCAGCACCCGGAAAGCTTTAGCTACTCCACCCCAGGGAGCCCCCAAGGAGACAAAATCCCTGATGTATTTGTCTTTCCATTCCTGGGGCTGATGGCTGAGGAAGTACAGAGAATACATGTTCCCCATGCTGTGGGCAATTAAGACCACCGGTTCGCCATACTCTTCATAGATGATCTCAATCAGCTTCCGGAGAGCCTCAAAATAATCTCCATTCTCGTCTACAAGGATTAAGACACAGAGGTTATCCAATGGGAAGAAGGAAGTCGTTACCTTCATTTAATTTAAGAGCCTTTGTTGACCTATCAACCGGTTATCAACTTTCGAATTGGCTACTGCACAAGGGAATAGCCTGCTAGGGAAAGAATGCAAGAATTTTTAATATAATCGTGCTTTGTTTTCAGGGTGGCTTTATACATGAACAAACAAGGTTTGCCCAAGGAAATGTAAGAAAGGTGAGTGGTTTAATCAATCAATCAATCAATCAATCAATCAATCAACCAACCAACCAATCAGTCAATCACAAACACTTCCAGGGATTGTGCTCAAGTTCTGTACTGGTTATTTGCCAACGAAGTAATTCCTTTTAATTTGGGAAATGTCTTTACCTGCGATTCAAGATATCCCATTTAATTATCATTCTAAGACAGTGTTTCTCAACCTTGACAATTTTAAGGCATGTGGACTTCAACTCCCAGAATTCCACAGCCAGCTTACTGTTCTAAGAAATGTGTTAAAGTTTAGGTCAGGGGTGTCCAATCTTGGCAACTTTAAATCTGGTGGACTTCAACTCCCAGAATTCTCTAATCAGCATGCGGAATTCTGAGAGCATGTTGAGTGGGGAATTCTGGGAGTTGAAGTCCACAGTTCTTAAAGTTGCCAAGGTTGTCCTAAATCAGGGGTCTTCAAACTTGGCCCTTTTATGACTTGTGGACTTCAACTCCCAGAATTCCTCAGCCAGGCATGAGTTGAAGTCCACAAGTCATAAAAGGGCCAAGTTTGAAGACCCCTGTCCTAAATGAAGGAATCCTTTGCTACTTTCTCACACTTTTCTAAAGAACAAAAATATTTCTACGGTTGATCCCATGATCTGAGAGTGAGATGTTGCAACTGCAATTGATATAATAACTGTAACACACCCAGAAAATATGTATTTACACAATGACTTTATGAAGGATATGCACACTAGCACCTACATTTCAGGGAAGCCCTAAAGCTAATCTTGATTTCAACAAAATGCAATATACTTGCATTTCATCTTCTGATATAATCGTAGAATAAGGATAAAGTCTGGGTAAAACTTCAGAGTTTGCTTATTTTTCTGACACTCCTTCAGTGAGTCACAATCACAGAAGTGAAACCTGACATTTCTAATAAAAATTAAATTTTAAAATTAATGCCCTCTTTTTTAGAACTGCAAAGTTTTTATTCTTTACACGACCGCCCTTAACCTTAGCCTTAAAGCCCAACAGTCTGAGCTCAGTGTGAATGTCTATTTTAAAAAGAACCATATTTGTATACCTTGTAGGTGATTTATTTAGTTTTGTATTTAAAAATTCCTTTGTCCTTGCTTGTTGGGTGATATTTTAAAGCAGGAATTATAATTTTTTTTTATTAACAGCACTGCACATTCTTTTCATTATTTCTATTATTCCACTGTGCTTGTTTAAAACTGTAACAATGTACAGCAAAAAAAAAACTGATAAGAGATTTTTTTACCAGCGTACTCAGTTTTCTAAAAGTTTCGGCCTGAAGTTCATAATTCCAAGTAAAAACTCTTGTAGCAAGATAAATGTATTCTGCGCTTGGGTTAAAAAAGGTTGGTATTCTAGTCCTGTTTGATGTTTTTGGCTACTGTACATTAACAAGGATATTCACCTCCTCTTTCTGGAAAAGTTGGAAAGCTTCCATGCAGCATATCAAACTTCTTAAGAAATCTAACCCTCACGATCCTGTTTTGCAAAGATACGAAAAGGAAGCAAGGTTTCTCAAGGATGAAAGGAAGGTTTTACACACACACACACACACACACACACACACACACACACACACACACTGGGGAAGGGAAGTTGTTGGTTTTTTTAAAAAAATTTTTTTTAGCTCTTTAGTGGTTGAAAATAAAACCTGGCAGACGAGGCAACAAAATGAAAAGCTCAAAATGCAGCTGCAGAGCCTGCCAAATGTCGAAGAACACAACTAGCAAAAAATAGCATCAGATCACATGCCAAAGAGACATCTTCAACAATGGGCTGTGGTTGGTTTTAGAGCAGTGGTTCTCAACCTTTCTAATGCTGTGACCCCATAATACAGTTCCCCATGTTGTGGTGACCCCCAAGTGGGTGTGGCCACCAATAAGAGGGAGTAGGACAGCTAGGGAAAAGGGAAAAAAATGGCGGACAGTGTGGTTTGGTGACCCCTGTGAAATGGTCATTTGACCCCAAATGGGGTCCTGACCCACAGGTTGAGAACCACTGTTTTAGAGAGACAAATTGCATAAGCAATTTGGTCAAAAGCAAAATTTCTTAGAAAGTGGGAAAATCTGATTTACAGTGTTCAAAGTGTTTAGGTACACCACATATTAAATAAAGAGAGATGGAACTTTAGTTACACTACTATGATTTTGGGGAGTATAACCTGGGGACACCTTGTCACTGTGTAATAGCAGAACAAGAGTTGAAAGGGGCCTTGGGGGTCTTCTAGCCCAACCTCTTCCCCATAATACCATTTCGGATAAAAGGCTGTCCTATCTCTTCTTGAAAATCTATGGTGATGGAGCACCCAAAGTTTCTGGAGACAAGGCACTCCACTGGTTAATCATTCTCACCATCAGGAAATTTGTCCTTAGTTCTAGGTTGGTTCTCTCCTTGATTAGTTTCCATCCGTTGTTTCTTCTCTTGCCTTCAGGCGCTTTGGAGAATAGGTTGACCCCCTCCTCTTTGTGGCAGCCCCTCAAACACTGCTATCATGTCACTTCTAGTCCTTCTTTTCATTAGACATACCCAATTCCTGCAACTGTTCTCCATATGTTTTAGCCTCCAGTCCCCTAATCATCTTGTAATTATAATCCTTGTAATCTTGTAATCACATCTTATATCTTACACATCTCCCCGTTGATGCATTTGAAAATTTAAAGCCAAAAGATTGGGATTTATTCATTGAGCAAATGTCTGCCAAGGGAGACACAACCACATCAAAAAAGGAGAGTTATAAGTATTAACAATGTTCCGAATCTAGGTCCTCCTATCTGCCCAGGCTGCGTACTACTCTCCCTGCTAACATGTGACCATTTTTGGGGGGGAAATAAGACATTTCTCAACCAAGTACCAAGCTGCCCATCATCTTGGTTTTTAATTGTACTTTTTAACTTTTTATTCCATTTTAATTGGTTTTTGCACTTTTAAACTGTTATTATTTATTTATAAAATTCATACAGCCTCCTACTCACTCACAGTGACTCTTAGCTGGCATACAAACAATAAAAACACAGTATCGGGGGAAAAACAATAAAACCCTTATAATAATGTAAGTCATACTTGGTGCTTTTCGCCAATCATAAGGAGCGCCTCTAATACTTTCATCTCGCTCATAGCCCAGGTCTACTAGTTTTTGCACCAGCGTGTAGAAGTACGTGCCTGTAGACAGAGAGAGAATCTGGGAGTCAGCCACAGTTCAATTAACAATCTTCCCTTTGCACAGAGTGAGCTTAAACCAGAGATTCTTCTCCAGCCCCAATTCTCATACGTTGCTTTTCAAGGGGGGGCATTGACTTAATGAGCTATTATGTGTAGAAGCACATTCCTCCTCACTTTGAAGCTTTTCTTTTTATTATTGTTAATTTAAATTGACAAAGTGAACTTTGAAAATTCATTCTTATTTTTAATTTTAAAAAATATTCTTTTTTAAAAAAAAATTCAACTTCTGCACACGTCAGGTGGCCTTATCTATAGGTTTAATGTTTCCTTAGTTGCTGAAGTGGGGGGGGTTGGGGTTGAGGTGGGGAGGTGGGCACGATGGCTCAGTGGTTAAGGTGCTGGGCTTGTCAGCTGGAAAGTCAGCAGCCCAGGTTTGAGACCCAAGCATCACATGATGGTGTGAGCTCCTGTTCCTTGCTCCAACTCCTGCACACTTAGCAATTCAAAAGCATACAACTGCAAGTAGATAAACAGGTACCACTTTGGTGGGAAGGTAACAGAGTTCTGTAGACCTTTGGCATACACGATCAGACCTACAGATGTGCTCTTTTGTTCCTCCTCTTACTGATCAGTCACCAGAAGAAAAGCTAACAGTGGACAAAATTGTGCTCTGAGAAAGGGCTATTCAGGCTTCGGCTACTTCATACTGCCTCATATCCTGATGAAAACAGATTACCTACCAACACTTCTTTTACTAGGATCAAGGAACTCCAAGGCAAAGGTCTTCCCAAATCCAGGGACTTTGATATTAACCCCATCTGGGGGAGCAGTACAGCCACTAGTCCGATTGTACACTAGCCTGGAGAGAAAAATCAGCATTAATTCAAACAGGAACAGAATCCTATCTGATGGTGTATATGTGCCTATTTTCATCCTCTGTGCCAATCTTTCTGGAAGCTTATTAGCTGGTAGCAGTCAGCATGGACCTTGTGGACCTACAGTTCTGCCTCTGAGTTATAAACAAGGGAACAAGGTGCTTATTTGAGTCTAACTCAGAATGTACTGAACTTTGTTGAAAAGAACGTAGCCAACTCATAATGTTGTAATGTTGTCAATTTCAGTTTTGTGCTGAGCTGAAAGTCAATAGTTTGAAATTAACCATATTCTATTTAATACTTATATCTCGTAGCTATCAGATAAACAAAATGTACACTTTTCAAATGGAATTTTCTGAACTCATTTCTTCAATGATCAGTTTTCAATATCAGAGCATATACCATTGTAGGGCAAAAATAAGTCTAGGGAGTGATTGGCTTCCTTTAATAATTTATTGGTAAGCGGAATGTGCCATAAACATAACCTGCCTTTTGATACGTTCCACTTAAGAGTTGGGACATTGTCAGTCACCTTCGGATAGAGTAGTTTAGCGGAGTCCCTCTAGAAGACTTAATATAGCCTAAGAAATGTATCCACTTAACATTGCAAGCCCTAAAAGTCAAATTTAATTGTTACAAAAGGATCCTGAGAAGTAAACTGTGAATTCATCATTCCCAATCAAAAACACTGGGCTACAGCTCTCAGAATTTGTAATCACCATAGTCAACAGGCTCTAGAGATAAGAATTCTAGGAATTATTATTCCAACACATCCACAGTCATGGCCAAAATAGTGGGAACCTTTTGGGGAAAGTGTACAGCAGAAATGCTACCTTTGGTTAAGTTTCCATTCATTTTTCTTCTAATTTCTTTGTAACTGTAGCCTTGTTCACTTAATAATACTATTTTACATTGCTTTCTGTCTGGGCAATCAGTCAACTCTTTGCACCATGACTTTAATTTTATTACGTTTTGCAAGCTCACTAAAGAACAAAAAAACAAAAAAAAAACAAAACCAACAACCAACTTGATAGCAATCACATAACACATTGACCAATGTCCTCCTCTCAGCTTCAATACAGGACATCAATCACTGAATCCTACTGTGATCTGATTGGCTCATTGCCAAAACAAGATGACACCTGATTGGCTCTCTAAACACTCATGCTCATTGGCTGCAATCAGATGAAGGAAAGCTACCTGATATCAACCTAAGCAAGTTGTGCTTCCTTTTTCTGGTTATTTGGCTATAACTTTTCATAGAATACAGTATGGATAATTGAACAAACTTTGTTGCATTACATTCTTGATTAAATTATCTTTCCATTGATATATAATTTTATGGTACTACTCCAAAAAAAAAGTGGTGTTATTAGCCATCGAACTTCAGAAATACACTTTTCCCAAAAAGGTTTCCACAATTTTGGCCACTATTGTATTTAAGCAAACTAACTAGATTAAACTTAATTGCCAGGTCGTTTTTTTCTTAGCCAGTCATGTTCTCCACTCCTTTATAATCTCGGTCAATAGAAGCACCGATGACCTATCTCCTGAAATCTCACCATTTTGTCTCTTTCTCCTGCAATTGATGTAACTAATGGCTGTACTTGGTCATTTTGACCAATAAATGCACAAATGCCTTGTCAACAAGAGATTTATTAACTTGCTTCTACTTTCCAGTTGGGGGGGGGGGAAGACTGCATCATATATATTGTTTGTTCTTTTGAAGTACTACACATTCATGTGACAAGCAAGTTGATCATTAACTCACAGCTAACATGCAAAGAAGAAAGACCAACCAGATGCTTAAAAACCACAGTGCAAGATGGATAACTGGTCAAACTCAAAATGACTTGACCACTGACAAGATAAATTGTTTATCCGTGTAATGTCACAAAATTTAAACCTTAAGCCTTCTCTGTTGTAGTGCCTGCCTTTTGGGGTCCCATTCTCCCAGCAGATCCATAAGGGACCCCACTCGTCCTGGCCCTATTTAAACAAGCCCTAAAATTGGGATCTATCTCCAGGCTCTGAATTGGGGATGATGGATCCTGTAGTATGGCCTTCTCCATCCCCAGGCCCTGAATTTATTGTGCTTAATAGAAGCCTTGGTATGGTTTTCTGGTCAATGACTGCTTTTTCTAGACTCTGGATGATTTAACTAGGTTATAATATTTCAATATTGCTGTGTGGGGTCTTTGAGTTTGATTGTTTTCTTGCAGATGATTCACCACCAAACTAGGTAAACATCATCAGTACTAGAATATTGGTGTATTCGGTATAAACCAGGGGTCTTCAAACTTGGCCCTTTTATGACTTGTGGACTTCAACTCCCAGAATTCCTCAGCCAGGCACAGGTCCCTGGCTGTGGAATTCTGGGAGATGAAGTCCACAAGTCATAAAAGGGCCACATTTGAAGATCCCTGGTATAAACTCACCCCACGGCAAATAAGTCAGGGCAGCCTACAAATTCCACAAATAAATCCACTCAGCTTTTACAGAGCATTTTTCTCTTCATTCGTGATTATTCTTAATTTCTAGCCAGTCTTTTGCCCCTCCTCCCTCCCCACATCCCCGTATCTGACTGAATTATACAAACAACAGTGCAACCCACCTGATATTATCTATCCAGCAGTCAATGATAACTGGAAGCAACAATTCTAAATTCAGCCACAATGTAAAATAACTGTCTGTCTTCTTAGAGCAGAGATAGTGCACCACAGATGGTTTGTCCAACTTGGCTTCTAGCTGGTTTCCCAAATCTCCTGGCACTGTAATTATACAAGACAGGGAGACTGACATGAAATTCTGTAAATTTATGCAAGCCTTCTTCTCTCAAAAGATGATCTCAGATGCTTGGGAATGCATTTTATTTTCCTACCAAACATGAAGCTCTTTTTCGCTCTCAGTGGGCACCGCAGAATTGCTGAAAGTTATTGAGCACGCTTCTCAGAAAGCAAATCAGTGAGGTGGATTCCCAGCAATTACAGCTAGTTCTGACTTACAGCAGTTCATTTAGTGAACGGTTCAAAGCTACAACAGCACTGATAAAAAGGGACCTATTGACCATTTTCCAGACTTACAACTGTTGCAGAATCCCCATGGTCATGTGATCAAAATTTAGACACTTGGCAATTGATTCACATTTAAGGCAGTTGCGGTGTCCCGGGGTCAAGCAAAATTAATGGGAAAGGTTGTTAAGTCCCATAACAACCGTGATATTCACTTAACAATTGCAGTGATTTAACAATGGTGGAGGAAAGCTCATAAAGTGAGGCAATTAGCCACAAAAGTTTGGGGCTCAATTGTGGTCATAAGCTGAGGACTACAACATTTCTCAACCTTAACCACTTTAAGAAGCCTAGACTTCAACTCCCAGAATTCCCCAGCGAGATTTAGCACAGTGGTTCTCAACCTGTGAGTCAGGACCCCATTTGGGGTCGAACGACCATTTCACGGGGGTCGCCAAACAACGCAGTCCGCCATTTTTTCCCCCTTTTCCTTAGCTGTGCTACTCCCTTTTATTCTATTGGCTTTTGAAAGCCAATAGAATAGACTCTCTTGAATAGAGTCTAATTCTATTGGCTTTCAAAAGCCAATAGGAATTGTCCAGGCTGTCTCTGCCCTGCTGAGCCCGCCAAAAGTCCCATTCTGCAAACGGTGCTGCACCAGTTGAGTAGTCCTCGATTTACGACCAGTTGAGTAGTCCTCAACTTATGACCAGTTGGGGGTTGCGGCATTAAAAAGGTTGAGAACCACTGATTTAGAATCTTAGCTTAGATGACTTACAGGCAAAAAACCTGCCCAGCAATAATCTCCATTGTTGATCTCCTAAGCATGTCTGTGGATTTTATTGGGCTCAAAGGTTTTCATAGACCCACACACACACACAAATGTCACCACCACCCAAAAAAAGCAACTCATAGGAAAATCTTGTGTGGCATGACTAGGTCACGTAATCACCATTTATGTATGATCTTCCAGGCAGGCTCCCGACAAGCAATGACAATGGAGGGGGGAGGGGAAACGATCACATGACCCCAGGAGACTGGAATCATACTGAATATATGCCAAGTTGACAAGAGCCCAAATTCTGATCACATGACTCTGGGGATGCTGCAACGGTCCTGAGTAAAGTTGGCCGTAAATCCCTTTTTTCAGTGCTATTGCGACTTCAAATGGTCACTAAATGAGTGATTGTAAGTCAAGTTCTACCTGTACGGTAATCATATTGCAGGTACTATGTAGTTGTGTTTAAAACTGTCTCTGTCAGTAGGTACAAATCACAAGGCTGCTTCCCCTGAATAGGTTTTCACCTGCAGTAATATCTAGCACCTGATTTGCTCAGGTGAATTCAGATTTACTCTAATCCAGTGGTTCTCAACCCGTGGGTCGGGACCCCATTTGTGGTCGAACGACCATTTCACGGGGGTCGCCAAACAAGGCTGTCCGCCATTTTTTCCCCTTTTCTTTGGCCACGCTCCTGGCACCCGGTAATGTATAAGTGGTTGGGGGTCACCACAACATGGGGAACTATATTATGGGGTCGCAGCATTAGAAAGGTTGAGAACCACTGCTGTAATCATACCTTATTAATAAAGCAGAAATAATCGTACATGGAAACAGAAAAAAAAAGACTTGGATGTTGTAATCCTATTTTCAAGGAGTATAAACATCCTTATTTTGAAACAATATAATGTAGCAAAGTTTGCAACAATATAAAAAAAACAAATAGACAAAATGTACCAAAAAAAGAGAGGTTGTTTTGTAACCTTTCAGTAAGAGGCAATTTTGCATTTGTATTTATAACTGTTGCAAAGAAAACCAGAAGCTACTTCTTCCTATGTCTGCCACCCTGAGTTACTTGTAAGAGATACAAATCAAGATACAAATCAATAAAATAACCCAAACCAGTGGATTATCATTAACTACTGATAATCTACGGGTCATTTTTTTTTTTTTGCATGCCAATTTTCCTTACCAAGATGTGTCCTCTAATGAAAGCAGGAAAACAAATGATTTGCAATTGTTCATTTGACCAAACAGCCTACTTAGTACTACAGACAGTTCTTGACTTATCAACATAATTGGGACCAGAATTTCTGTGGCAGTTGTTAAGTAAATCACATCCAATTTTGCAACCTTTTCTTGTCGGGGCCGTTAAAGAAATTACTGCAGTTGTTGTGAGTTATGAGTTGTTAAATGCATCCGGTTCCCCCCCTCGTTGATTTTGCTTGTCGGCAACTGGCAATTATTGTAAATATTTGCAAGCTGCCAAGCGCCCAAATTCTGATCATGTGACTGTGGGGTTGCTGCAACGGTCATAAATGTGGGGACTAGTTGTAAGCCACGTTTTCCAATGCTGTTGTAACTTTGAAGGGTTGCTAAGCAAATGGTTGTAAGTCAAGGGCTACCTGTACAGAACAGACAGGCAGGCCTGGGGTTTATAAAACCTTACCCCTGGATGATTGTTTTTGTATTATTGTTTTGTTATGTTTTATGTGTTTTTTATTGTTAGCCGCCCAGAGTCCTTCGGGAGTGGGGCAGCTTATAAATTTTAAAAATAAAATAAAATAAACAGACAAATCCCCATTTGCATGTACTAAGAATATTATTCCGGGAGCAAACAAAAGCCAAGTAGTTGTGAATTATCTCTAAAGAGTTTCAGGCATTTTATTTACAGATATTCGGGCAAGCCGTTTTATAACTGGAGAGAATAACTAATGAAAACTATTTTCAGAAAGGCTGGAAAATCTCCAGTGTGGTTTAGCCAATTAGAAACATGAGGCAGATAATTGGAAATTTTAGACAGCTATTATCTGAAGCTGATTAAAAATTTAAGCTTTTGGATACCTTTGCAAAGTTTAGAATTGGTTTTTGCCTTTCCCCTCTCTTTAAACGCATTCTCCACTGGAACACTTGAATGAGGTTTACTTATTACGCAACAAGTCAGTTCTTCCAAGAATTCTGGAACATTACTTTGCACAGCCAACCAAGAAGAGTTCACAGAGCTACGTGGATCACCACACAGTTACTCAGTAGATTATTATTAGAAGTCAGTGACAATCAGGTGACATTCAGAAAAAAATGTATCAACAAGAGAAAAAAAAATCTAACTATCGGTAATAGGAAAATATAGTCCCCAAACTAGAAGTACCTGTGCTTCAGAAGTAGGTGGTAGCTGAGTAACATGCATGTGGGAATACAATGACATTAAAGCAACCTAAAATGATGTGCTTGACAATTAATTCATGCTCCCTTCTCTGATCCTCATCCCCAGTAATAGTCCTTGACTTACAACAGTTCATTTAGTCACCGTTCAGTTACAATGGTGCTGAAAAAAGTGACTTAGGACCATTTTTCACACTTACCACCTTTGTAGCATCCCCAGGATCATGTGATCAAAATTCAGACCCTTGCCAACTTTAAGCAAGCAGAACAAGACAACCAGGAAGTGGTTATCAGAGTAAAAGAAAATACAGGTTTATCCCATAAACAAGGATAAACAAAGCAAAAATAATGGGGAGGCTTGTCTCTTGAGAAGCTTCCTCCTACATGCCCAGCCACATTCACACCGTGCCACAACACCCTCCCCCATGGCACCTACCTATGCCCCCACCTGCATCCACGTTGCAGCATGCGCACACACAACCCTGAGCCACTCACTCGTTATGTCTTGCAACTTCCAGATGGCTTCTCCACTGACTTGGTTGGAAGCCGGCAGAACATCACAAGAAAGGGTCAGGTCCTCGCTTAACGTCAATGGAGACTGTCAGTAATGCAGTCAGGTGATGCTTTGTGACCTCTTTGCAGTGTGACAAATTTTGGGTCTCAATTGCCGTTGCCACCAGTGGACTTCCTAATGAAGGAAAGCAGGCAGAGTTTCCAGGATGCCTCTCCTCCCCTTAAAAACACAGGTAAGTCCTCGATTTACAACCACAATGGGGCCCGAAATTTATGTCGCTAAGTGAGACATTTGCTAAGTGGATTTTGTCCCGTGTTACGACCTTTCTCGCCACAGTTGCGGGACGAATCACTGCGGTTGTTAAATCAATGACACCCTTGATATGTGAATCTGGCTTCCCCAGGGACTTTGCTTCTCAAAAGGTCACAAAAAGGAGATCACGTGACCCCAGGACGCTGCCGTCATAAATACGAACCAGTTGTCAAGCGTCTGAATTTTGATCACATGACCATGCAAGGGTCCTAAGTGTGAAAAACGGTCACAGGTCACTTTTTTCAGGGTTGTTGCAAGTTTGAACGGTCACTAAATGAACTTGTTGTAAGCCGAGGACTACCTGTAAAGCCTTTAATTTAAATAACAATAAAATGACTTGAAAATACTCAAAGGATTGTTTTCTGTGCTTACTTAAGCTTTGGACCAAACTCCAGATTCTGTTCTAGACTTGCACTCAGAACATATTTGCATACACTAATCCAGGGGTCTTCAAACTTGGTCCTTTTATGACTTGTGGACTTCAACTCCCAGAATTCCTCAGCCAAAGTCCACAAGTCATAAACGGGCCAAGTTTGAAGATCCTTGCACTAATCCCTTCTCTGGAGACTCATCTACGAAGTATTTTCTACCCCCAAATTCTAGAGATAAGAAACTAACACTGCCCTGTAAATCTTATTTGTAAACGTTATGTGGATTCTTACAGAAGTCAGTTATTTATTTATTTTAAAAAAATAATCTTACTCATAACAGAATGCTTAGTTACTGAATTAAGAGTCCTATCCCGAACATCTGCCTATCACAGGATAGATATAATCTTATTTTCATCATTTTCAGTCTCAGATTAAATGTCAAAGCATTTTTTTCCCATGAAGACAAAACAATAAGGAAGAATTGCTGGAGAAAAGGCATCTATTTTCTCTTTCCTCCCTCTTTCTTTCTCTTCTCCCTCCCTCTCTCTCCCTTTCTTTCCTCCCCCTCCCTCCTTCCTCCCTCTCTTTTTCTTTCTTTCCTCTCCTCCTCCCTCTCCCTTTTTTCCTCTCCATCCCCCTTCTTTCTTTCTTTCTTTCTTTCTTTCTTTCTTTCTTTCCTCCCTCTTTCTTTTTTCTTTCCTCTCCCTTCCCCTCTCTCATACACCCCCCCCCAAAAAAAAAGTTCAAGCCAGGAACCACCAAAAAACCTGCAGAAGATTAAACTTAACCACATTTAAAAACACGTGTACTCTTTAATGGCATTAACCACAGAATTTCCTTTTGAAAAGGTTTCGGTTCTCTCTTCCTTTAGGCTGAAACCATCACTCCCCAAAAGCCCATCATCCTTTCATTACTCCACAACCCCAAATTATGCAAACCGGCCCCAGGTCAGTCAGTAGGCAAGAGAAAACCAGAGACGAAACCCAGATACCTCGCGCACCCAGCCTATTTCGAGGCAAGCCACAGCTATGCCCGCCCCTTCCCCCAACGAGCCCCGAAATTTGCAAGAGCCGCCGCGATCAGAGAGCTTTTCCCCACGACTCTCTTCCAACGCGTGCAGCTTTTGCCCCGAGTCAAGGTGGTCCAGTTTGAACCAGGCACACGTGGGGGCTTGCCCTGGGCGCAGTGTGCGTGTGCGTGTCACGTCAGGAGCCCACTTTGCAAGCCGGCCCCAATCAGGCCCATTTACACCAGGTCCTCCCGACACGCATTCGCCCATCCCACGACCTGCAAGCCCACCCAGAGGCTTGCAAAAAAAAAAAAAAAAGAACGACCCTCAATCGGGATGAGCAGAGAAGCGTGGGTTTTTTGGGGGGGGGCTCCTGAAGCTTCTCGAGGGCTTCGGGGAGCGGGGCTACGACAGCGGGCACTCCCGCCCCTTACCCAGCACGACGGGGGGCCCCGGGGCGCGAGTCCTGCCCCGGGGGGGTCCCGGAGCCGCGGCAGGCGGCTGGGAGCAAAGCAGGAGCAGCGCCAGGAGGGCCAGACGGGTGGCCGGAAGGAGCCGCGAGGCGGCGAACAGGGACCCCATCGCCTTAGGGCTCGCCCCGCCGGCGAGCGCAGCAGTAAAGGAAGAGAAGCCGCGCAGCTCCGCCCGCCTCGCTCTCCCGAGCCGAAATGAGGCGGAGCGCGCCACTAGAAGGCGGGTCGCTCCTAAAAGGAGAGCCTCCGACCAATCCATTGCTCGCCGGCTTCCACGCAGCCAATCAGGAGGAAAAGGAGGCGTTCCGGAGGAGCCTCTCTCGCGCGCCGCACCTCTTTCTGGAAGCCATCCAAGTTTGGCGAGTTGAGAGCGGATACATCGATGAAAGCCGCCACCCCCCCCCCCGCAGGGAGGAGGGCGAAACTTGGGTCTCTGTCGCCTTCAGTGTTACAATCGATCGCCGATCGAGTCGATGCCATTAGGCTGGGAGTGGAGGCGTTTAGGATTCCTGCTTTTATTTTGCTTTGTTTTTGTAAGCGTCCTTAGTGCATTTTTTTAAAGTCCACGTTAGTTTAATTCAGCGTTGGCTAGGGAATGATGGGAGTTGGAGTCCACCCTTCTTTAAAATAGCTCAAGATTGAAAAACACCTGTTTGAACTGTTTTGCAAGCCTTGTTTTCATGCGGTCACATGCTGGTTTGTTAACTTGTTGTGTCCCGATTTGGTACTCTTTCACACACACACACCCTCTCTAAAGCCGTAAGAATTCAAAGATGCTCAGGATGGTGACCCTGCTTGCGAGAGAATGGATAAGAGCTCTGAACATTTTCAGATGCTTTGCTCCAGAGTTTAAAAATCAAATCAAATCAACCTTTATTGTCAAAGTACAATAAGTGTACAATGAGATTGGCTAAGCCTCCCTTCCTGCACCTCCCCCCACACAACTCACAGTGACAACAAACACACACTCTTATTACACCACGTGATCTTATCGCACGACGCGGCAGCCCCGCAAGTCTATCATTACATGGAGTTATTTCCCATTCAGGAGTCTGACAGCCCATGCGTATCAAAAGTAACGAGGGAAAAGGTTTTTTGTAGCGCTTTTCAACAGCTGCTTCGGTTGTGTAATGTAATCGTTTCCCGTAAAATCGTAGCTGCAAACGAGCTTGGTGGTCGGCTGGGTCCAAAGCTCTTGCTTGATGCAAGCTCAGCTTGAGTTTCACTGCAGGAAAGAGGCAGAGGAATCAGCCCCCCCAAAATTAAAAACTCTGCACCACGTGACTTGCTTTAAAGGTAGTCTCAGAAATAAAAAAACAAAAAAAGGATTCAGCTAGTGTACGAATTTTTCCCCCCAAGATCTGGAAAGCAAAAACAGCTCGGCTAAAATTCAGAACCGCAATACCAATAATTAGAACCATTCAAACTGGTTCAAACATTGAACCTTCAAACATTGAACCTTCATCAAACTGGTCTCAAATTGGATTGTTATTTTGGTGGTGGTGGTGTGTGTGTGGGGGGGAGATTGGTATTCACACACCCCTCCAGCTTTCTATTCTCTAATATCTAGCCTTCTCTGGACTAGTAGTCAATTGAAAGCATCAGGATACAGTATGTATTTTTGTAATAAATAAGTAAAACTCTATACAGGTAGTCCTCAATTTATGGCCACATCTGGATACCACTTTGGTGGGCAACTTTTAATGGGGGTCATGAAAAGATCTCCCAACTGGGTGTGCCCCTGATATCACTGTTCAATCCTTTCAACTCAGAAGTACTTCACTGCTCCCAAAACAAATATAATAATAGTAGCTATTGACTATGCTTGTTGGGAAAGGGCTGGAAAAGTCACAAATGGTTATCACAAGACCCACAGAATGCTGCAACAGTCGTAAACACACGCTGGTTGCCAGAATTTTGAACACATAACTGTTGGGATGTGAGGACTGGTTATAAGTTACTTTTCTCAGTGCACTGTAATTTTTAACGGTCATTAAACAAATGATTTTAAGCCAAGGGCTACCTGTACATATTGCTCTGCTTTCATCCATATTGTTTTAAAGATATTGTCCATGTAAATCTTCAAAACCTGATTGCCATTAAAAATTGGAAGTGTCTGTTATTTTGTTTTTCCTCCTCCTCTCTCTTTCTCCCCTCTCCACCCTACTGATCTTGAAAATTTGCTGCCTATGTTGGACGTTTTCAGTTAGTCTCTGAATTTTGAAATTCTTGCTCAGGGTCTAAAAGAATGCATTTTAAACTGCATGCAACATTGCAAGATCCTTCTTCCCCTGTGACTGTCATTAAGCACTAAAGGAAGACTTCCTGATAAATCCATCAAATGGTTCATTCACTCCTTTGAGTTGAGGAAGAGTTCTAAGTTTGTGGTTGGACTCAGGGCTCAACTATGCTGCAGAAGCCACACGACACAACTCCATTTCAATTAAACAAATTGGTTGCCATGTGGTTAACTCACTGAAAGACAGATTTAACGCCAAGTTTAAATGGACACAACATAACTGTTCAAGAGACAAGTTTTTTTTTTCCAGACTAGTATCCTCAAGTTAGGATGAATGACAGTCAGTCATTCCAAAAGGCAACTGGACTTTCTTGGTTTTCTTTCCTTTGAAAACATTTCAGTTCTCATCCAAGGACCTACTTCAGTTCTAACAGATTGGTGGGGAATGAAAGGACTTCATAAACCTGGATGATTGAGGATCTCCATTGACCTACAAGCAGTCATCATTTCCAATGTGTAGGATCAAGGTAGCCAAAGTCTATCAGCCAGCCTAATAAAGGACGATAGGAGTTGTAATCCAATACATTTGAAGGATTTGCAAAAGGAGATACCCTGATATCTGATGTACTCCTCCTAAATTTGTGAGTACATTCAGCTGCCTTCACGGGCCCTGAGTAAATGTGCTGTAGAAATATCTAAAATGATCCTTGTCTCTTGCACAATTTCCCATCCTTCGAACAAGTTTGCACAAAAAAGATGCTTGGGCTGTTTTTTGGGTCCACCCAATGTTGTAATGGGGTGGCTCCAGGTGATTCACAGGTGCCAAATTGTTCTATTTCTACTTGTAGCAACTGGGAAGCATCTCAAATACGGTCCTGTCTTCCAGACAGTTGGATTTAGCCCTTTTCTTTTGTCAAGGGCATGGTGGTCTCCACCCATCCTTGAATTATACATTGCTTTAAAAGCACAGCTAAGGAAAAGAAAAATAAGGTGGCTGCCCTAAGGCTTTTCTTCATTCTGCTGAGTTGAACTGCTACCCACCCATTCTTAAATCAGCAGAAAATTATTCTGGCCTGACCTATGCTTTCCCCTAGTCTTTGTTTCCAGTCACTCTGCTTTCTTCCAAGATAACAGGGGACAAAGCTAACAGAACATCCATATCTTGAGGATGGCATAACTCAATTGCTGAAATACAAAGAGCCCCTAGATTGTAGCAAAGAGATAAAAAGCCACTAATTATTTGCTAGTCTTTGCATCTGGATTTCGCAGCCCTGATATCTGAGTCTTACTGTTGGATGTGGTTGGAATATGGAGGAAAGCACTATTTTAAAATGGAAGAACTAAACAAGTTAAGGATGACTCAAAGATGGCGGACATACTTGCATGCTGGTTTGGTACAAGTCAAAAAGGGCCTGTGATTGCATTTGCCCAATATAGTTACCCTCATTCCATCAATTTCTTTGGGTTTATAAATGATGATTTATGGTTTAGCTTCACCTCCACCTCTCTTTGTTTGGCTTAACAAAGTGTGCTTAAAACATATTGTGTGAAAAGTGACAAACAGCAGAAGCAGAGAAGGATATTTACATCCAGCTGGTCATCAGAATCTAATCAGCCTTAGTCACTCTGGAAAAAGCAGGGTCAACATTTCAACATGAAACTTCCTAGAAATCCAGGAATCTAGACTAGCTTGGTAATTTTCTTATATTTAATAGTAAAGACGTGACACTTCTGATTTCTCATTAATAGATAATGTCATGGGCATCTGTAGTACTCTCATCTTCTATAGTAAGACGTTAGGAAATTTCCAGTTGAGGAAGCAAAATGAAATTCTGTTGACAGGAATAATTAGGCAAATTAGGAGGAGCTCGGCTCTTTTACTCAATCAACTTTTGCACTGCCATTTTAATTTAAATAGGAACTCAGGGTCTCTTGCTCAATGCAACCGATGCATCTGCTAATCTTTCTTCTCCATATAACTGGTGGCTTCTGGTCAGCTCCCTAAGATAATGTTTTGGATAATGTCTCCAAAACATCTTGGTCTCCTCCAGATCAGGTTGTAAAATAGTGTTAGGAAGATTGCTTTGTTTGGAGAGCCTGAGTGTTGAAAGAAACACAATTGTTATTGTACAATTGGTTCCTATCAAACCCGAGTCCTTGTCTGACTTTGGGCCAATCACCAGGAGACGGTGAGTTCTAGTGCCGCCTTAGCCATCAAAGCCAGCTGGGTGATTTGAGCAAATCACTAGGACACAGTGAGTTTTAGTCCTGTCTGAGCCACAAAAGCTGGCTGGGTGATTTTCAATTAATCAGTGGAATGGTTTGCCTTCAGAAGTTCTGAGAATTCCATCACTGAAGGTTTTCAAGAAGAGACTGGACAGCCATCTGTCTGGAATGGTATAGAGTAACTCTCCTGCTTGAGCAGGGGACTGGACTAGAAGACCTCCAAGGTCCCTCCCAGCCCTATAATTCTATGAACTTCTGCTGCCTCTCTCTCTCTCTCTCTCTCTCTCTCTCTCTCTCTCTCTCTCACTCTCTCTCTCTCTCTCTCTCTCTCTCTCTCTCTCTCTCTCTCTCTCTCTCTCTCTCTCTCTCTCTCTCTCTCTCTCTCTCTCTCTCTCTCTCTCTCTCTCTTCTGAAAGCAAAATCCGGGAGTGATTAGAGCCTTAAAGTACCACAAACGAGGCCTTCACCAATTCACTGGCTGTGTTGATGTGTAAGGAAAACTAGGACAACAGGTAATTTAGGCCCAGCATATTCTCTCATTTCCACTCTTCTCTTCAGGCACAGATTTTTGGGAGGATGGGTAACTGCATGATCCTTCTAGCTGCCAGCTGAAAGGATTTGACCCAGATAAGGGTGAGCCCATGTCAGCAAGAAGGAGTCAGAGTTTAACAATAGTTGTTAATCTGTGCAAATAAGGAAAGTGGCATCATGTTGTCCTGGCCTTGGAGTGTGTAGCAACCGCAGAACCCC